ACCACCCGCACAGATGTGAACCTAAGGTCCGAGTGTCTGAATTGTAACATGCCGAGGAGGTGATGCGCCCACACACAGAAGGAGAGAATAAAAATCCCAGGATGTGTTATTAGCACTTGCAGCCACGTCAAGAAAAATCTGCCCATATAACTACGCTGTTCTTTAAAGTAAAACGTCTTCTCCTGGACTTAATTCGAAAAAGTTACCACAATGCCCAGTGCTACCAACCAGACTTGTTCTTTCTAAATTGAATCAGAAAAAGCAAAGATGGAATCTGATTGGTTCTTATGAGCACTGCAGCTTTAAAAAACCGCTCACCAAAAAGACAAATATTGGAATCTGACTGGTTCTTATGAGAATCGCAGCTTTAAAACCAGCCACCAATACAACGGTCACATTGAATTACAATTTTCACTCGTCCATTGTATTTCACATATCTGTTTAAAGCGGAGTTCCACCCAAAAGGGGAAGTTCTGCTTTAACCTCCCTGGTGGTACGATTATGTCAGGAATTTTGTATCAAAAGCGGTACCATTTTTTTGCATGGAAATTTGGTGTTATGTATTGTAGGCCTGCAATTCTTAGTAATTACTTACCTAATAAATACTCATAAAAAATAATAATAATACATTTAATTCAATAATATAATCAAACCAAAAACATTGAAATTTGAAATAGAGCGCCAAGTTCGCACATCGCTGAGCAAAGTCGCAGAATCGTTTTCAGTGTCTGATGAGGAATTTCCCCCACGAATCATTATCACTCAATTCTGCAAGTGGTTCTGATTTACTATCGCTGTTCTCTAGCCGGTCTAAAACCGATTTGGACCTAAAGGGACGCTATGGACGTTTCTAAGTTTCCAGGCAGAAAGAACAGTCAAAATGTAGGCAGGGCGCCGGACAAAGCACTCGGGACAAAATGTATGTGAATTGCATTGAAACAGCAATGTTTTACTATATAATAATAATTTTTCAAAAAATGACATTTTTTAAAAATGTCAAATTTGCCGCCGGTTCCGGCGCCCGTACGTCCCGATGTCACAGGGACCGGAACACCGGATGCCGGCATCGGCCAGAGAAGATGGCCGGGGACGCTGCAGGGGACACATCGCGGGAGCAAAGGACAAGGTAAGCGCTGCAGGGACTCCCTGAGCAACGCCGCATGGTAAGCCCGAGTGTAGCTCGGGGTTACCGCTCTTGGTACTGAAATTGTACCCCGAGCTACACTCGGGAATACCGCCAAGGAGATTAAAGATTGGTCCCCCGCTCCCATTAAGGATTGGCACCTTTGGGGAGTGGGGGGGAAGGGTTCCCGAATTTGACAGGTACCCGCTCCCACTTCTGCTGCGATTGCCTAGGCGATTGGAAGCGGAAGTTGTCCTCCCCCCCCCTCCCTCCCCGAAATCTTGTGGGACACGTGACAGGTCTCAGAAGACGACGGGGCCATTCAGGAAGCACAGCACTACTCGAGCATGCGAAGTAAGCACCCGGCTGTGAAGCCGCAAGCTGTCACAGCCGGGTGCTAACACTGAAGATGCCGGGGCCTGGAATACAGGACGGCCGGTGAAACGGGCTGCGGCGGGGGCAACGCGGGATCCAGGGACAGGTAAGTGGCAGATTTTTATAGCTGCTAATTTTTATTTTTTTACAGAGTGAGTGGAACTCCGCTTTAAGAGGCTCTCCACCCACAGTATTAGCTTTAATTTTTCTATGAGGCGAGTCAACCATCCCCATAGATCAGGGTGTCACTGGTCGTTGATGACAATGATGTGTCCTGCAGCTGCCTGTTCACAAAGGCCTCACTGGTGCACTGGATGATTTCCCCCCCCCCATTTGTGTAAACTTTAAATTGATTGAGTGACTGCTATTTTCTTTTTTTGCTAAGTTTAATTTGTGGCTTTCAGCTACATTTACACATAGGTTCTGCAAGTATTATTGCACCATAGGAAGGAATAGTGTAGCCTCCAGGTATGCCTGTTCTCAGCTTATTTAACCTCCCTGGCGGTCTGATTATTTCAGATTTTTGGTGCTGAAAGCGATACATTATTTTGCATGGAAATTTGGCGTTTTATATTGTAGGCCTGTAATTCTTTGGAATAACTGAAATCTGTCCAAACAAGAGTCTAGTAAACATCCCGGGGATGATAAAACTTGAAATACGAAATCATAAATTATAATTTAATAAATAATCATAAAAAATAATAATATAAAAATAATAAATTTAATTCAATAATGTAATCAAACCAAAGACACTGAAATTTGAAATATAAGCGCCAAGTTCACACATCACTGAGTAAAGTCGCAAAATTGTTTTCAGTGTCTGATGAGGAATTTCCCCCACGAATCATTATCACTCAATTCTGCAAGTGGTTCTGATTTACTATCGCTGTTCTCTAGTTGGTCTAAAACCGCTTTAGACGTAAAGGGACGATTTTTGGACGCCATGGACGTTTCTCAGTTTCCAGGCAATAAGAACAGTAAAAATGCAGGCAGGGCGCCGGACAAAGCACTCGGGACAAAATGTATGTGAAATGGTTTGATACAGGAATGTTATACTATGTGATTTTAGTGAATGTCACTTTTTGTCATTTTTAAATTTCCCGCCGTTCCGTCCCCCGTACGTCCCGACGCTCGCAGGGGATGGAACCCAGAAGACAGATGCCGGCATCCGCCGGATTACATTGCCGGGGACACTGCAGGAGGGACATTGCGGGAGCGCAGGACAAGGTAAGTGATCGAGGGTTCGCAGAGCAGCGCTGCATGGTATTCCCGAGTGTAGCTCGGGGTTATCGCTTGTGGTACTGAAACTTTACCCCGAGCTACACTTGGGAATACCTCCACCAGGGAGGTTAAAGCTATACATTTTCCTGTGTTAGTTCCCCTCTAGATTTGTACATCATGCAGAGGCCACTTTCTGTGGTATGCAGCTTACACTTCACATACTGTGCGGTGACAGACGTTTTACTGCATTGTAAATGCCTGCCACTGCAAGGACACATGAATAACAATTGTTTTCTGGGTGTCCCATTCACACTGCAATGCCATTGGAAGCAGTGCTGCAGCATGCTGCAGTACAATGCAGACATGCTGCATTTTATCACAGGGCACTGTACATTAGCACAGCGCATCGCACTGCTTTACAGCACCATGAATGAAGAGTAAACTTCTAATAAAGTTTGTCCAAAACAAAAAGAAAGGGGGGGGGGGGGGATCTGTGTGATGAGCAGAATTGCACACCACACTGTTCCCTAACACAGTCAGGAGGGGACAGCTGCAGGACAGGTAAAGTGCCCGGCTGCTGTCCACTGTATTGTGAACAAAGCCTTAAGCTCTATGCACACTGGGTATTTAGGTGTGTCAAGCACTTTAGCATTCATTCATTTCATTGGCCAGAATATTCATTTATTCTGGCCACTGAAATGAATGAAAGCGCTAGTGGATAACCTGCATGTCCCTGTTGACATGTGATCAGACACAGCTGATCACATGACCGAGCCGACATCTTCGGCTCTTTCCGTTGATCCGCTGTGTCCAAGAGACACAGCGCACCACCAATCGCCGCGCTGCGCGTTCCCGGAGCCGAGCATGCGTGGTTAGAATGGGAGGACGTCCTCCCAGAACAAGAGAACCACCTTGTGCCCGTCACTGTACTATATGGCGGGCGGGCGGGCGGTGGTTAATAAAGTTGGATGGAATCCAACATTATCACTCTATGACTTCCTGCTTCCCTAATGAGTCCATAGAGCATGGGTGGTCCCTGTTTGGTCAGTACCTGGAGACCAGGTAGCGTTCCAGAGACCAGGGATTCCTTTAGAGGCTTGGAGCGGTAAGATCTCTCTACAAACACAAGCCAAACCACTTTGCATCCCCCCCCAACGCCAATATTTTATTATTATACAGGATTTATGGCGTCAACAGTTTGCTCAGCGCTTTATAATATAACAGGAAACAATACAGAAACAATACAGTTCAATACAAAAGGGTTAGGAGGGCCTGATCCTTGGAGCTTAGAATCTAAGAGGGAGGGGCTAGTGGTACAAAAGGTAGTGACTGTGGGGGATGGACTGGTAGGAGGAATAGAAGATTCCGTTATTAGCTGAAGACGGGATAGGCTTCCCTTAAGAAATAGGTTTTCAGAGATCACCTAAAAGTGAGCAGAGTAGGCGATAGTCTGATAAATTGGGGTAGAGAGTTCCAGAGGATGGGGGGAGCTCTGGAGAAGTCCTGGAGACGAGCATGGGGAGGAGACAAGGGAGCTAGAGAGCAGGAGGTTGTGCGAGGAGCCAAGAGTACGGTTTGGGTGATATTTGGAGACAAGATCGGTGATGTAATTTGGGGCGGAGTTATAAATGGCTTTATATGTTATTGTTAATGTTTTGAATTTTATCCGTTGGGCAATGGGAAGCCAGTGGAGGGATTGGCAGAGAGGGGTGGAGGCCAGTGGAGGGATTGGGATTGGAGGGATTCTAATCTATACATCATCATTATTATTATTATACAGTATTTATAAAGCGCCAATAGTTCGCTCAGCGCTGTACATTACAAAGGGGGACAGAACATGTGACAGAACAATACCAATACAATGCAAAACATGAGGGGATCGAGGGCCCTGCTCCATGGAGCTTACAATCTAGGAGGGAGGGGATGGTGGTACAGGAGGAGATAGCTGTGGGGGATGGAGTGGTAGGAAGAGTGGAGGAGGTCTGTCAAGTTAGCAGGGGGTGGGGTAGGCTTCCCTGAAGAGATGGGTTTTCAGGGTGCGCCTAAAGGAAAGGAGAGTAGGTGATAATCTGATGGGTTGGGGCAGGGAGTTCCAGAGGATGGGTGACACCCTGGAGAAGTCCTGGAGGCGGGAGGACATCATAAACCTATTTAATTTCTTTTCATACAATACATAATGTGCACTTTTGACATCCAGTGCTGCAAACCATCACAGTCACATCTTGTTAGCTTTGTCTGAGAATTGGGACAACTTATCCATATACAGACAGGAAGGACTCACCTCTACGGAGAAGGACACCTCATCGTCATTATTGTCATTGATTTTCTCGAAAAGGTCCTCGCACAGCTGGGGGAGGAAGAGCACATAGTCAGCTGAATGAGGAATCAGTACAGATTGTAGTCAGATGAGCTCACAGTGCTGAGAGCAGATAATGGCAAAGCAGACAATTCCTCACAAAGGATGTAAAGACTGTCACTGAATTGAAGGAAATATCACATAAAATCAAATTAAAGCAGCTGTATACTCTCATACATTGCTACCCTATGAGGATAAGGCCAACCTCTATCAATTAATTTATATGAATTTATCTCTGAAATACATTTTTTAAAGCAGTTCGGCAGGTCATGTGAATGCTTTCCTTTTCCTTGCTCTGCACAGCTTGAGTCGGTGGGAGAGACTAAGCCCCAAAGCGCCATGCGTGTTAATGACGCCGAGTTATTTATCGCATGCTGTATTATGTCAGTGCATTAGTGTGATGCAGTGCTATTCATACTAGATATCATCCCAACGCACTGTACTGTGCTGCATTACACAAAATAGTACATGCAACTCTTTTACAGCATTAGGCAGCCCATTAAAATGAACAGGATGCCCCCTGACCCTTCCAGCATTACATGCCAGAATTACGGACGTCAGACTGATGGAAAACCTTACAGCACAAATACATGGCTTGCTTGAGCACTAGAACAAGGTAGGAACTATGGCACCTCAAAGAGAATCCACCCTAGGCAAAACAAAAACAATAATCCTCTCTCTGAAAAAAATCTGTAGTCATGCTGGCGTAGAGCGGTCGGTTCAGAGGATGGGGAGACCAGCGTCGTCTGCTTTTCCTTGCTTTCTCTCCCCTTCCTACTTTTCTTCTTACTTTTATTTATTTATATATTTTAATTGCTGGCAATTCTTTTACATTCAGCTGTCAGTGGGGAAGCTAGCTGACAGCTGAAACATTAACACACGGTTGTCACTACTAAAATACCGCATGAGTTAATAAAATTACTCATGCGGTATTTTATTTATTTATTTCAGGTACTTATATAGCGCCGTCAATTTATGCAGCGCTTTATATATATATATATATTGTACATTCACATCAGTCCCTAACCCTCAAGGGGGTACAATCTAAGGTCCCTAACCCTCAAGGGGCATACAATCTAAGGTCCCTAACCCTCAAGGGGTGTACAATCTAAAGTCCCTAACTCACATTCATATACAAGGACCTATTTAGACAGGATCCAATTAACCTACCAGCATGTCTTTGGAGTGTGGGAGGAAACCGGAGTACCCGGAGGAAACCCACGCAGGCACAGGGAGAACATGCAAACTCCAGGCAGGAGGTGCCGTGGTTGGGATTCGAAACCAACGACCCTAGTACTGCCAGGTGGAAGTGCTAACCATTTAGCAACTGTTCTGACCTTCGGAATGGATTAATTGGTTTTCAATGCATTCCTATGGGAAACGGTGTTTCGGTTTTCAAATTTTTCGCTATACGAAATGTCCTGCAGAACTAATTAAATACGTAAACCGAGGTATTACTGTATATTGTACATTCACATCAGTCCCTAATCCTCAAGGGGCGTACAATCTAAGGTTTCTAACCTACATTCATACATACACATACTAGGGACAATTTAGATAGGAGCCAATTAACCCTTTGAGGACCAAGGGACGTATTTGTCCCATGTTTTTAAATGCCTGTATCATCTGATTAAGAACTTAAAACTTTTTTTTTTTTTGGTTTGAGTCAAAATATTAGTTCTTATCAACAAACAACAAATGGATCTAGCTTTTTGCCAATTATTTCATGAAATGGCTTAGTTACAGCAACTGAAGTGTACGAACTTTAAAAACAAAAAAATTGATTCTTTTGGCGTTCCAAAATCTTACGGTCCTCAAAGGGATAACCTACCTGTGTGGGAGGAAACCGGAGTACCCAGAGGAAACCCACAAAAGCACAGGGAGAACATGCAAACTCCAGGCAGGTGGTGCCGTGGTTGGGATTCGAACCAGCGATCCGAGTACTGCCAGGCGGCAATGCTAACCATTTAGCCACTGTGTTTATTCACTACTTATTCAGGTTTAATGCCCCTTCTCCTGCCATACTTTTTTTTTTTTTAATGCATTACAGGTATGTCAATGGGATTCGCTTAGCAAACCTACTGCATCCCCCAACTAGGGGAAACTCTTATGTATTTGTATACTTACCTTCCTTACGCTGTATTTTCCTAGACAACCTGTAGAAATTGCATTGAAATACAATTGATCTTTATTGGTTCATGTTTTTATAATTGAGAAAAAAAAAATGATAAAAATTGTTCCTTTGAAAAACGAACAGGATGCCTTAAAGCAAAATGCATGTGCTAACGCAGCACAACAAAGTGAATGGGCCCTTAGAATTTATAAGCCACCCAAAATAATTAGCCACTTTGCAGCTGCATGACGCCTTTCACAGGACGTATCCAGTAAATATAACAAGCAGTGATATCACGGTGACACACCATCAACAATTCCTAATCCACTAATAAGGTAACATTCTGTTGTTGGCCAAGTATACAAATGATTGCTCTCTTTGTGGGGGCAACAGGTACAAATAATGCATTAAAGTGATCCTTTCACTTCAGGATTGAAAGTACAATAATGGCAACCTGTAAAAGAAGATACTATGTACTTACCTTTCCAAAGGCTCGTGTGTTGAAACACAGCCATGTTGCTGATCTCTTGCTGCTAAAGGTATGTGACACTTCCGGGTGTGTCAAATGCCTGCTCCCCCCCCGCTGCATGCTGTGGTTCGTTCAGTCTGTTCGTGTGTATTGTAGTGATGAACCAGTGGAAGGAACCAAAAGCATGAAGTGGGAGAAACAGGCATTTCTTTGATTTTTCTTTTCTTTTGGACAGAGGGAGGAAGTGTTAGAACCCCTGTAAGGTTTTTATTGCGATCTGTGTCCTTGCTAAAGGAGCTTCCCTTCAATTTCTTTCCCAGTGACAACACTGACACACAGAGTGTCACTGAGACAGGAGTTACATAGTTACATAGGTAGTCTGGCTGAAAAAAGACAAAAGTCCATCCAGTTCAACCATTAAAAAAAAAAAAAGTTATAATCCTACACCCACAGTTGATCCAGAGGAAGGCAAAAAAACCAGCAAAGCACGATCCAATTTGCTCCTGCAAGGAAACAAATTCCTTCCTGATCCCCCGAGAGGGAATCGGATATTCCCTGGATCAACTTTACCTATAAATGGTATATCCAGTTATATTCTGTGTATCCAAGAAAGAATCCAGGACTTTCCTACAGCAATCCACTGAGCTGGCCACAACCAACTCTTGAGGGAGTCTATTCCACATTCTCACAGCTCTCACTGTGAAGAAACCTTTCCGTGTTTGGAGATTACATTCCTCCAGATGTAAAGAGCGCCCCCTTGTCCTCTGTGATGACCTCAGGGTGAATAACTCACCGAGTTCACTATATGAACCACTGATGTATTTATAAATGGAGATCATATCCCCCTTATGTATTATACATGGAGATCATATCCCCCCCTTATGTATTATACATGGAGATCATATCCCCCTTATGTATTATACACGGAGATCATATCCCCCTTATGTATTATACACGGAGATCATATCCCCCCCTTATGTATTATACACGGAGATCATATCCCCCCTTATGTATTATACATGGAGATCATATCCCCCCCCTTATGTATTATACATGGAGATCATATCCCCCCCCTTATGTATTATACATGGAGATCATATCCCTCCTTATGTATTATACATGGTGATCATATCTCCCCCCCCCTATGTATTATACATGGTGATCATATCCCCCCTTATGTATTATACATGGTGATCATATCCCCCCTTATGTATTATACATGGTGATCATATCCCCCTTATGTATTATACATGGTGATCATATCCCCCCCTTATGTATTATACATGGAGATCATATCCCCCCTTATGTATTATACATGGTGATCATATCCCCCCTTATGTATTATACATGGTGATCATATCCCCCCTTATGTATTATACATGGTGATCATATCCCCCCTTATGTATTATACATGGTGATCATATCCCCCCCTTATGTATTATACATGGTGATCATATCCCCCCCTTATGTATTATACATGGAGATCATATCCCCCCTTATGTATTATACATGGAGATCATATCCCCCCCTTATGTATTATACATGGAGATCATATCCCCCCCTTATGTATTATACATGGAGATCATATCCCCCTTATGTATTATACATGGAGATCAATATCCCCCCTTATGTATTATACATGGAGATCATATCCCCCCCTTATGTATTATACATGGTGATCATATCCCCCCCCTTATGTATTATACATGGAGATCATATCCCCCCTTATGTATTATACATGGTGATCATATCCCCCCTTATGTATTATACATGGTGATCATATCCCCCCCGTTATGTATTATACATGGTGATCATATCCCCCCTTATGTATATTATACATGGTGATCATATCCCCCCTTATGTATTTCCATATATACATGGTGATCATATCCCCCCCTTATGTATTATACATGGAGATCATATCCCCCTTATGTATTATACATGGAGATCATATCCCCCTTATGTATTATACATGGAGATCATATCCCCCCTATGTATTATACATGGAGATCATATCCCCCCTTATGTATTATACATGGAGATCATATCCCCCCTTATGTATTATACATGGAGATCATATCCCCCCTTATGTATTATACATGGAGATCATATCCCCCTTATGTATTATACATGGAGATCATATCCCCCTTATGCATTATACATGGAGATCATATCCCCCCTTATGTATTATACATGGTGATCATATCCCCCCCCTTATGTATTATACATGGAGATCATATCCCCCCTTATGTATTATACATGGTGATCATATCCCCCCTTATGTATTATACATGGAGATCATATCCCCCCTTATGTATTATAACATGTTGATCATATCCCCCCCTTATGTATTATACATGGAGATCAGCACAGGGTGGGATATGCATGGAGATCATATCCCCCCCCTTATGTATTATACATGGAGATCATATCCCCCTTAACTGAGAACAATAAGGACACAAACAGCAATAACACAAACAAACCAACAGAATTTTATCCATTCCTCACTCTATTCAACAGAATAAGAAAAAAGTTTGGGGTTGACTTTGATTTTTTTTTTTTTTTTTTGCCATACACAGACCACAAAACCATACCTGGGGAATGATGCCAGCTTGGGTCTCCTCCTGCTTGCCCATCATGGTATAGGATTTGCCAGCACCAGTCTGTCCATAAGCAAATATACAAACATTGTAGCCCTCAAAGGCATGTTTCCAGCATTTCCTTTCCAATGTCATTGTAGACGCGGTTTTTGGGATGCAAAAGGAAGGATCTTCCGGCTGTGGAAACAAAATCTTATGTAAGCAGGTTTTCTGCCAGCACAGGAATCAATACAATCAATACAATTATGATAATGGAACAAAAAACAATAAGAATGCTAGCCCCATGGCAAAACACACGTAATTGTGCACTATTCACGTTACTGGAACTGTTTTGGGGTTATAACGTTGATTTTAGCTCATTTTTTTTGAGGACCTGAAAAAAAGCATCTCCCACCCTGTGCTGATGAAAGTCTGCCATCGATTGTCTTGCTGCCATTTGGGATGGAGTTATAAGGGGCAGTTATCACAATCCAACCACAACTACACTATCTAATAAGCATTTCAATGTAACTGTATAGAGCAGTCTCTCTCCAATCAATCAGAGTTCTGTGGAACCCTATGGATCCTTCAGAGGTTGCTAGGGGTTCCTTAAGCAATTTTTGCCTTTTCATATAAGTAATTGCTGATGGCAAAGATCTTTGTGCCTATATGTGAGGAGGGCATTCTTCCAACTGACCTCCATAGTAAATAGTTTGTTTCCAACTGACAACCAATGTAAGCCACATGCTTCCCACTGAACTCTTAACTTAAGGAGCATTCTTCCCCATATTGACAACCAATGTAAGGAGCATTCCTCCTACTGACCACCAATGTAGGAGCATTCCTCCTACTGACCACCAATGTAAGGAGCATTCCTCCTAATATTGACCCCTCAATGTATAAGCAGCATTCTTCCCACTGACAACCAATGCAAGGAGCATTCCTCCCAATGATCGCCAATGTAAGGAGCATTCCTCCCAATGATCGTCAATGTCAGGAGCATTCTCCTCCCACTGATCACCAATATAAGGAGGAGCATTCCTCCCAATGATCGCCAATGTAAGGAGCATTCCTCCCAATGTAAAATGTCCTTGTTTTTCCAACTGAGCATTCCTCCCACTGATCAATTATTAGGAGCATCCCTTGACACCAAAAACTGCCGCATCCCAATATAAGTAAGAGCATTCCTCCCAATGATCGCCAATGTAAGGAGCATTCCCTCCCAATGAATCGCACATGTAAGGAGCATTCCTCCCACTGATCGCCAATGTAAGGAGCATTCCTCCCAATGATCACCAATGTATCACCAATGTAAGGAGCATTCCTCCCAATTTTGAGCATTCACCCCCCATAAGGGAGCATTCCTCCCACTCCCATCCTCCCCCGATCACCAATGTTATAAGGAGCATTTTTCCTATCCTCCCCACCCATCTAATCGCCAATGTAAGAGAGAATTCCTCCCACTGGTCGCCAATGTAAGGAGCATTTCCTCCCACTGATCACCAATGTCAGGAGCATTCTTCCCACTGATCGCCAATGTAGGAGCATTCCTCCAACTGACCACCAATGTAAGGAGCATATTCCTCCTATTTGACCCCAATGTAAGGAGCATTCCTCCCACTGACAACCAATTCTAAGGAGCATTCCTCCCACTGACGCCAATGTAGGAGCAATCACCAATGTAAGGAGCATTCCTCCCACTGATGAATGTAAGCAGCATCGCCAATGACCACAATGTAAGGAGCATTCCTCCCACTGATCGCATTCCTCCCACTGATCGCCAATGTAAGGAGCATTCCTCCCAATGATCGCCAATGTAAGGAGCATTCCTCCCAATGATCGCCAATGTAAGGAGCATTGTAAGGAGCATTCCTCCCTGAAATGATCGCCAATGTAAGGAGCATTCCTCCCAATGATCGCCAATGTAAGGAGCATTCCTCCCAAGATCGCCAATGTAAGGAGCATTCCTTCCCAATGATCCCAATGACATTCCTTCCCAATGATCGCCAAGTAAGGAGCATTCTTCCCAATGACAACCATTGCAAGGAGCATTCCTCCAATGTGTAAGGAGCATTCCTCCCAATGATCGCCAATGTAAGGAGCATTCCTGCCAATGATCGCCAATGTAAGGAGCATTCTTACCACTGATCACTAATGTAAAGAACAATCTTCTCACAGACCCCCACAACATGAGGAGCATTCTTCCCACTGATCACCAATGTAAGGGGCACAATTCCCACTGACACCACAGAGTAATGAACATTCTTCCCACTGACCACCAATGTAAGGAGCATTCTTCACTGTAAAGAGGCACTACCCCGACCACTAATGTAAGTGAACATTGTAATTTTCATTTTCTGCCTTTTCTTTTCTTTGCGTTATTATTTCTTATTTCATTTTATAACTGTTACTGAAAATAAGTGTTATAAAGAGTGGGTGTCAAATAATCAAAGTAGGTCACATTCTTCTTTCTCTTTATTCTCATATTTCAACATACTGTTAAATACTAATGTACTGTGAGCTGTAAATGTAGTGATTATAAGCAGGGGTTCCCGAAAACCGGTAGGTCAAGGGTTTCTCCATTTTATATAGGTTGAGAAAGGCTGAGATAGAGAGATGGTAAGATATTTTAAATGAAGTTTTGATACAAAGGTGAGACTTGGTGGACATGGCCACACTGGTTCTGTGTATTTGTTTTTAATAGCTACACATTCTGAATTTACTGGAATTGCCAAATGCAGGGCAGACCACAGCACCCGAATATTGGACATTGCAATGCAAACTCTACAAATGCATACGGCTGAGAACAGTAAGGCTCCAAGCACACTAGCATTTTTTTTAAGCTAAAAAACAAAAAAAATGCTGGATAGAAAATGCTGGTAATAACAGTTTCCAGTAGCGTTTATGAACATTAGCATTTTATTAGCGTGTTTACAGTACATGTAGGGGGAAAAAAAAGCTGATAGCGTTTAGTTTTTCTTCTGCTGGAAAAATGTTCCCAAAAACGCTACAAAAACTATTTTTTTTTCCTGATCCTAAAAACTGAAGCTTGAAAAACGCTATTAGCCTAAAATAGTGTGCATGGACACAATGTAAGGGAGGAATGCTCCTTACATTGGTGATCAGTGGGAGGAATGCTCCTTACATTGGTGATCAGTGGGAGGAATGCTCCTTACATTGGTGATCAGTGGGAGGAATGCTCCTTACATTGGTGATCGGGGAGGAAAGCTCCTTACATTGGGGGGAATCAGTGGGAGGAATGCTCCTTACATTGGTGATCGGTGGGAGGAATGCTCCTTACATTGGTGATCAGATCGGTGGGATCAGGAAAGCTCCTTACATTGGTGATCCTTGCATTGGTTGGGGATTGAGGGGGTCAAAGCTCCTTACATTGGTGATCAGTGGGAGGAATGCTCCTTACATTGGTGATCATGGGAAGAATGCTCCTTACATTGGTGATCGGTGGGAAGAATGCTCCTTACATTGGTGATCAGTGGGAGAGAATGCTCCTTACATTGGTGATCAGTGGGGAGAATGCTCCTTACATTGGTGATCAGTGGGAGGAATGCTCCTTACATTGGCGATCAGTGGGAGAATGCTCCTTACATTGGCGATCAGAATGTGGGAGGAATGCTCCTTAAATTGGCGATCAGTCATACATGGGATCAGTGGGAGGAATGCTCCTTACATTGGCGATCATTGGGAGGAATGCTCCTTACATTGGCGATCAGTGGGGAGGAATGCTCCTTACATTGGCGATCATTGGGAGGAATGCTCCTTACATTGGCGATCAGTGGGGAGGAATGCTCCTTACATTGGCGATCAGTGGGAGGAATGCTCCTTACATTGGCGATCATTGGGAGAATGCTCCTTACATTGGCGATCAGTGGGAGGAATGCTCCTTACATTGGCGATCAGTGGGAGGAATGCTCCTTACATTGGCGATCATTGGGAGGAATGCTCCTTACATTGGCGATCAGTGGGAGGAATGCTCCTTACATTGGCGGTCAGTGGGAGGAATGCTCCTTACATTGGTGGTCAGTGGGAGAATGCCTCTTACATTGGTGGTCAGTGGGAAGAATGCTCCTTACATTGGTGATCAGTGGGAGAATGCCCCTTACATTGGTGATCAGTGGGAGGAATGCCCCTTACATTGGTGATCAGTGGGAGGAATGCTCCTTACATTGGCGATCAGTGGGAGGAATGCTCCTTACATTGGCGATCATGGGGGAGGAATGCTCCTTACATTGGGCGATCAGTGGGAGGAATGCTCCTTACATTGGCGATCAGTGGGAGGAATGCTCCTTACATTGGCGATCAGTGGGAGGAATGCTCCTTACATTGGCGATCAGTTGGGAGGAATGCTCCTTACATTGGCGATCATTGGGAGGAATGCTCCTTACATTGGCGATCAGTGGGAGGAATGCTCCTTACATTGGTGGTCAATGGGAAGAATGCTAATTAAGTTAAGAGTTCAGTGGGAAGCATGTGGCTTACATTGGTTGTCAGTTGGAAACAAACTATTTACTATGGAGGTCAGTTGGAAGAATGCCTATTTACTCCTCACATATAGCCACAAAGATCTTTGCCATCATTTAGCCACTATTTAGCTTCTAGCAGCAGAAAAAAATGCTGAAAACAGCTTTTAGGAGCTTGAAAAAAAAATGCCAGTGTGCATGCCGCCTTATAGATTTTATATTCAGTGCCTAAAGACAACCACACACACTACAATGTCTACTTTCAATCCAGTTTTTTTGTTTGTTTAATTTAACTGAAGTATTCCAAACAGCATTAAACAAAGCTGTACAATTCCAACATAGTTGTATGAAAGATTTCCCAACACAAAGACTCTGACTGTACAATACTCAAACCGTCATAGAGAACAGTATGTAGAACTGCACAATCACATCACAGACAGGCATTATATTGGCTTAGAGCATTTATTGAAATGTATAGTTATTGTGTTATAAATAAAATCTCATCTGATTTTATCATAGTATGATGACAGTGTGGACAACTTTAGGTGATTCTAAAGGTAAAATGTAAATAAAAAAAAACAAGTATGTCTTACTTTCCTGTTCTGTGCAATGGAATTGCACAGAGCAGCTGTTCCCTCTGCCCCTTGGAGCTTAATCATGGGGAAAGAAGAGGGGCCACATCCTCCAAAATGCGTTGGACATATACTGTATATTCCTAAACAATTAGGACTTTAAAGTGATTCTAAACATTTTTTCTTTTAAATAATAAATGTTATACTCACTTGTTCTGTGCAATGTTTTTGCACAGAGAAGCCCCAATCCTCCTGTTCTGGGGTCCCCGCCAGCGCTCCTGGCTCATCCTCTTCAGTGAGTGCCCCCATAGGAAGCCGCTTCCTATAGAGCATTAGTGCGGGCTCGTTCCTGAACTGCACTGCCTGCATCTATAGACACAGACAGCGGCACTCAGCCCTGCCACCTGCTCCCTAGTAATAGGATTTGATTGAAAGGAGCAGGTACCAATGGCCCCCCTGCTATCAATATGCCCTGTGAGGAGGAAGAGACTCGGAAGAAAAGCTGCTCTCATGCACAGCACTGGATCGAGATCAGGCTCAGATAAGTATAAGGGGGTGCTGGGAGGGAGAGTTGCATACAGAAGGGTTTTATTACCTTGAGAGAGAGAGAGAGGGAGGGAGGGAAGAGAGAGGAGGAGAGAGGAGTGAGAAAGGAGGAGGAGAAAGGAAGAGGAGAGAGGGTGAGAAAGGAGGAGGAGAAAGGAAGAGGAGGGAGGAGGAGAAAGGAGGAGAGAGGAAGGAGGAGGAGAGAGGGAAGGAGGAGGAGAGAGGAAGGAGGAGGAGAGAGGAGAGGAGGAGGAGAGAGGAAGGAGGAGGAGAGAGGAGGAGGAGGGAGGAGGAGGAGGAGGAGGAGGAGGAGAGAGCAAGAAAGAGAGGAAAAAGAGGAGAGAAGGAGGAGGAGGAGAGAGAAAATGAGAAGAGAGAGAGAAGAGAGAAAAAGGAGAGAGAAGAGAAAAAGGAGGAGAGAGAAGGAGAAAAAGGAGAGAGAAGGAGAAAAAGGAGAGAGAATGAGAAAAGGGAGAAAAAGGAGAGAGAATGAGAAAAGGGAGAAAAAGGAGAGAGAGAATGAGAAAAGGGAGAAAAAGGAGAGAGAAAGAGAGAAAAAGGAGAGAGAAAAGAGAAGGAAGGAGAAAGAGGGGAGAGGAGAGAGAGAGGAAGGAGAAAGAGGAGAGAGAAGAAGGAGAAAGAGAGAGAGAGGAGAAAGAGGGGAGAGAGAGAGAGAGAGAAGGAAGAAGAGGAGAGAGAGAGAAGGAAGGAGAAAGAGAGAGAGAAGGAAGGAGAAAGAGGAGAGAGAAGGAAGGAGAAAGAGGAGAGAGAAGGAAGGAGAAAGAGGAGAGAGAAGGAAGGAGAAAGAGGAGAGAGAAGGAAGGAGAAAGAGGAGAGAGAAGGAAGGAGAAAGAGGAGAGAGAAGGAAGGAGAAAGAGGAGAGAGAAGGAAGGAGAAAGAGGAGAGAGAAGGAAGGAGAAAGAGGAGAGAGAAGGAAAGAGAAAGAGGAGAGAGAAGGAAGGAGAAAGAGGAGAGAGAAGGAAAGAGAAAGAGGAGAGAGAAGGAAAGAGAAAGAGGAGAGAGAAGGAAAGAGAAAGAGGAGAGAGAAGGAAAGAGAAAGAGAGAGAGAAGAGAGAGGAAAGAGAAAGAGAAAGAGAGAGAAGGAGAAAGAGGAGAGAGAAAGGAGAAAGAGGAGAGAGAATGAGAAAGAGGAGAGAGAATGAGAAAGAGGAGAGAGAAGGAGAAAGAGGAGAGAGAATGAGGAAAGAGGAGAGAGAATGAGAGAGAGAGAGAGAGAGAGAGAGAGCAAAAAAGGAGAAAGAGAGAGAGAGAGAGAGAAAAAAAGAGAAGGAGAGAGAGAGAAGGAATAGAGAAGGAAGAGAGAGAAGGAGAGAGAAGGAAGAGAGAGAAGGAAGAGAGAGAGGAGAAAGCGAGAGAGAGAGAGAAGAGAGAGAAAGAAAGAGAGAGAAGGAGAAAGAAGAGAAAGAAAGAGAGAGGAGAAAGAAAGAGAGACAGACAACTGTGCCATACTTCCTTCCATGTTCACCATCGTTCTGCTCAGTACTGGGGGCAATGTGTGAGCTTTGAATCACAAGTGAGAGCTTACAGTGGGGTTGAGGATTCTCGTACTGCCCCCATGTGACAGCACTGGGCAAATCAACAAGTACCAGTGCTGTGACATGGGAAGAAAACAAGCAAGTCATATGTTTCCCTATACCTGGAAGTTCATAACTGGTAGCCAAACAGAACAGCGGGGGAGCGAAGGGAAGGAGAATTATGAGCTTCTGGGGTTTCCAAGGAATTAAGTGAACTTGTTGTCCAGCATGAGCAAAGCCAAAAGGTTCACTTAAAGGCTTACACATGATGCATTGGGTGGAACTCATTTATAAGAGGCACTAAAATGAACTGATTTTGCAGCATTAGCTGCGTCATCAGAGATGAGGTCCTGCAAATTACAAACATGATGTCCGAGGCACCCGTCATATATACTGTCTAGTGTGAACAAGCTGCAGAACACTTACCGTAGTGTGAGACCAGTATGAATAATCAAAGCTGAAACTTTTTGCTGGTTCTTTAGGATTCTTTGGGTTAATAATACCTAGAAAAGAATGAAAACGGAAATCAATCACCTTTGCTGGTAAGGAGGTCAGGACTATCATCTGCAAAGTAGAGTACAATCATGGCATGTAATAACCGTACATAAAACTCTGCCCCCACCAATTTACATTAACCTGAAGGAATATCACTTCCCCTGAGATGTAACTGGGATGACTTCACCTGCACAACCTCTGAGAGAGGGAAAAGGATCCCATAACTTCATATTCACTAAAAGTTTTCATTTTAAGGAATTGTTAAAATACACTTTGGGGAGCAAAGTGCCCACCAACCAATCACTAAGGACCTTTTTTGTGATCTGGTAGTCATGGATTGCTATGCATCATCACCCCTGTGGGAACATTGTTATGCGACCAGGAACATACAGGTAGGCATGCAGGGCAAGACGTACAGTATCTACTGGAAGCCTAATTTCGACTTTCAGCAGGCAGAAAAAGGAGGGAATGAGAAGAAAAGCAGAAGGCATAAAAGTAACTCGGTTATCTGGAATGAGCAAAGCATGGGTTGGCTTTACCCTTTGCTTTCATACTTTCCACCACTGCTTGGTAGAGCCCTCGTCTCTTCCCCGTCTTCTGTCTATAAATGCTATTCCAGCTGGTTCCCCTTTATTTATTTATGTATTTCAGGTCCTTATATAGCGCCATCAATTTACACAGCACTTTACATATATATTGTACATTCACATCAGTCCCTAACCCTCAAGGGGTGTACAATCTAAGGTCCCTAACCCTCAAGGGGCGTACAATCTAAGGTCCCTAACCCTCAAGGGGCGTACAATCTAAGGTCCCTAACTCACATTCATACATACACATACTAGGGACAGAAGCCAATTAACCTAACAGCATGTCTTTGGAGTGTGGGAGGAAACTGGAGTACCTGGAGGAAACCATGCAGGCACAGGGAGAACATGCAAACTCCAGGCAGGTTGGTGCCATGGACTTTATTATTTGATTCACATACATCGATCATAACTTTATGATGACCCGCCTAAAACTGAGCAGGACCCCCTTACCACCAAAACAGCCCTGACCCATCGAGGCATGGATGCCACTAGTACTCTGGAGGTATGCTGTAGTATCTGGCATCAAGCTGTCAGTAGCAGATCCTTTAAGTCCTGCAAGTTGTGAGGTTCGGGCCTCCATGTATCGGACTTGTTTTTATCAGCACATCCCACTTTACCAGCACAGTCACTTTGGGTGGGAGGCCCATGGAACACAGCTCACTTTAGAGAGGTGGGGAGACCCCTGTCTCAGCTCCCCATATCCCTATTATGTGTAAGTCACCCTGTGCCTGTTACGGGTACAGGGTGATCTGTCCTAATATTGGGGTGGGGGTTGTTGATTGTTTAATGTGGTTGCATCCCATTGTTCTATTGTGTGTTTTGCTTGGGAGCAAACTATTATGGGATGTATGTGTTTGTGTGTATTAGCTTAGTAGGGGGTGTCTCCGGCAGCCCTCCCTCCTGATGAGACTGTCTGCTGGTGTGAAGTTTGAATACCTGTGTGTCTCTTGTTGCTAAGTGTAGATTGCCCCGCCCTGTGTCATTATGCAGGGAGGGGGGATTGTCCCGAGTGTATAAAAAGCCAGTTTGAGTTTCAAATAAAGACTTCCATGTTCAGACAGACTGGTGTCGTCTAGTCTTGTATGGTCAGCTGTGGTGTCTGTGGTCGGTGCTCAGACAGGGAAGCGGTATTATAACAGAAGTACTGAAGCGCAGACTGGGTCGGTTCCATTACAATATATATTTGGACACAGACACAATTTTAGTTTTTTTCAGGTATTTACCAAAACATATTCAAGCTATAGTTATATCATGGATATGGGCTGAAAGTTCACACTCTCAGGTTTAATTTGAGGGATGTACATCCAAATTGGAGAGTAAGGGTTTAGGAATTAACTCTTAAGAGTAGCCACACCCCCCCCCCCCCCCATCCTTTTTCAAGAATCCAAAAGTAATTGGACAATTTAATAGAATCATTAATAAAATGTTCATATTTTGTTGAGAATCCTTTACTGGCAATGACTGCCTGAAGTCTGGAACCCATGGACATGACCAAAGACTGGGGTTCCTCCTTTCTGATGCTTTGCCTGAAGTCTGGAACCCATGGACATTACCAAAGACTGGGGTTCCTCCTTTCTGATGCTTTGCCAGGCTCTAAAAGACTATAGCTGCCTTCAGTTGTTCTTTGTTTGGGGGTCTTGGTGGTGGTTGGTGGTGTAAAATGCAATACATGTATCAAAACACAATTACTACTGCAATGCATAACATGATGTACAACAGGATGTCATAAATTGTGTGAGCTGAGCTCCTTCTACAGATCCTCATACCCCTCTACCCAGCACTGATCTCTGCTACCAACATGAACGTGGGCACAGGTGAGAGCAGGCGCTGCACAAAGGTCGCACACACCGGCCTGCCACCTGGTCCACCCTGAGCTTCCTAGCAGATGTCGAGTCCTTGCGATTCCCGGGAACTCTCAGCTCCACCAGAAATAGCCGGACTTGCCAAACTGCTGCACTATTTCAGACTCAGCTGCCCTTTTAGGCGTCCAATGTGTGACAGAACAAGCGAGGAAGTCAATGCAGTCAGAAAAGAAGTGCTGAGGCCTACGTTGTCCATTGCAGGTTCTCCAGATTTATCTTTGATTTTATTAATAGCATCTGTACATGTTATTTCCACCCCCAGAAGGGAGCCACTTACCCTGAGCTGACAGGCCGCTCTGCCCAATATTCTACCACGCCGCATGGATGCCGATGTTTAAAGTGACTCTAAACTCTGCTGTAGGCTCCATGCACACTAGGTTACACGCAACGCCAGTGCGCCACCGCGGTTATTGTACAGGCGTTTAGGAGCATTTAGCTTTTTCTTTCCTTTTCTGCCAGAAAAATACGTAGAAATAAAACCCCTTCTGTTTTGTGTTTTTCAGACTCTAAACGCTGAACTTAAAAACGCCTCTAGACTACCTAATATGCATGCATGGACACATAGGAAAACAGTTGTTTCTACAGGAAAAACACTCAACTCCTCTAGGTCAAGCGTTAAAAAATATATTCTATTCAAGTATATGATCTTAAAGTGTTACTAAACCCAGGACCCCGCATTCACTATATCCGCTCTCTCCGGACCCCGCATTCACTATATCCGCTCTCCCCGGACCCTGCATTCACTATATCCGCTCTCCCCGGACCCTGCATTCACTATATCCGCTCTCCCCGGACCCTGCATTCACTATATCCGGTCTCCTTGGACCCTGCATTCACTATATACGCTCTCCCCGGACCCCGCATTTACTATATCCGCTCTCCCCGGACCCTGCATTCACTATATCCGCTCTCCCCGGACCCCGCATTCACTATATCCGCTCTCCCGGACCCCGCATTCACTATATCCGGTCTCCCCGGACCCCGCATTCACCCTCCCCGGACCGCGCATTCACTATATCCGGTCTCCCCGGACCCTGCATTCACTATATCTGGTCTCCCCGGACCCCGCATTTACTATATCCGATCTCCCCGGACCCCGCATTTACTATATCCGGTCTCCCGGACCCCGCATTTACTATATCCAGTCTCCCCGGACCCTGCATTTACTATATCCGCTCTCCCCGGACCCCGCATTCGCTATATCCGCTCTCCCCGGACCCTGCATTTGCGCTATATCCGCTCTCCCCGGACCCTGCATTCGCTATATCCGCTCTCCCCGGACCCTGCATTCGCTATATCCGCTCTCCCCGGACCCTGCATTCGCTATATCCGGTCTCCCCGGACCTTGCATTCGCTATATCCGCTCTCCCCGGACCTTGCATTCACTATATCCGCTCTCCCCGGACCTTGCATTCACTATATCTGGTCTCCCCAGACCTTGCATTCACTATATCTGCTCTCCCCGGACCCTGCATTCACTATATCTGGTCTCCCCGGACTTTGCATTCACTATATCCGCTCTCCCCGGACCACACATTCACTATATCCGCTCTCCCCGGACCCTGCATTCACTATATCCGCTCTCCCGGACCCTGCATTCACTATATCCGCTCTCCCCGGACCCCGTATTCGCTATATCCGCTCTCCCCGGAGACCCTGCATTCGCTATATCTGGTCTCCCCGACCCTGCATTCACTATATCTGCTCTCCCTGGACCCTGCATTCACTATATCCTGGTCTCCCCAGACCCTGCATTCACTAGATCTGGTCTCCCCGGACCCCGCATTCACTATATCCGGTCTCCCCGGACCCCGCATTCACTATATCCAGTCTCCCACAGTACACAGAACACCAATGTGTTTTAAGAAACAAGTGTTTTTTGTTTTTTTTTTTGATCTGCATAGGAACAAGTTGACCAATGGAAAGCCCCCCATGTAGTTCAAAAAACCCCTGCAAAAAAAAACCCTGCAAAATCAAAAACACGAGTGAGGAAAAAAAAAACCAAAACAGACTGTAAAACGGACAAAACTGCATGTGAAGCAGTCCTAAACTCTGAAGGAGTGGATCCCATGAAGCCACACATCTATGCAGACCCACTGCTATTGAAACGAATGATAGTTTCATCCTCGGCTTCCGCCACGCCGCCAACACGCTTCACTCTGCCATTTTGGCTTAACCACTTCCCGCCCCACCGTTGTATATAAACGGCCAGACGGTGGCAGTGCAGGGTTGGGTGGCCATTTATAAACGGCCTCCCCGCCCCCTGCTTGTGCGCACTCCCTGGGAGCGCGCAGCACTGCGATCCGGGGCCTGCTGTGTCCTCCGGACACAGTTGAACACCAATCGTCGTACGGGACCTCTGTGCAAGGTCCCGATCATGTGATCACTGATTGGCCAATCAGTGATCACATGCAGAGTAGTAAGCAAGATGTCACTTCTGAGATCATTGCTTACTACGTGTGAAATCTGTGAATGATCACAGAAGTCACATGGTACAAGGCTATTCACAACAGTCCTTGTACCATGTGACAAGCTGTGACCAATCACAGCTCACACA